ACAGAGTAGCTCAATGCATTGCACTAGTGTCCACTACATAGCTATTTGCTAATCAAATGTCCCAGAACCAGCTAGTCCTTCTGTTGTTTTCGTCTAGCAAACACTCAGAAACTGCCTTTATCTTGCACAACAAAAGAATAACCTATGAGTTGGATGTAATGTGGGAATTAAATAAAATATAATACCAGTATTTAATTGTGTCCTGAAGGAAATGTTTCTCATTGTGGTAGAGAGGGAAGGAACGTCACTGTAAGTCGAGGGACCTGTCTTCTCACTGTAGCTCTGGTTTTGATCTTGGTCACATGACCTAACAGCAGCTCTCCCATGTATCCAATTGGAATAACAAGTAATGTGTTATATTTGAAAACCCTTCAGAAATAAAAGTACAAATTAATACTAGGTACCATCATTATATAAGACACAAGTTAAACCGGAAAGTGGAACTCCAGATACAGGAGCCAGGGAAGGTGTCCTGGGTTTCATTTTTCCCATCTTACACACAACTCCTGTGCCCAACTTAGTGCATGATCAACAGTTGGTACTCAGAATGTGTTTATGGAATGAGTGAATGATCCTCAACTGCAACATAGAATCATAAAGATGATCTTAGATGGCTGTTCTTGTCTCTTTGTTTTTAGATGAGGATTTTCATATATTATTGTCATGCAGTTGAATTGTTAAAAATTTATGTAAGGAATATAGAGTCATAAGACAGAGTTTCTGCCCTTAAGAAACTTCCTATCTCATTTGTTCACAAGACTTAATTAGCTCCTGTCTCCTCAAATTAAACAGTAATAAAAGGCAATAGGAGAGCACTAGTTAAGTTTATTTGGATGTAGGGAGGAATATTTACTCTGGCCAACTTAAGGGGGAAAAAATATATGGCTCACAGAAATGAAGGACATGTGCAGAGCCAAGTCCAGCCAAATCCTGTACCTCCCAGGATCTGGGGGATGGACTAGGACACAGGCTTATCAGGTCTCTGCAGCCTGGCTGGTTTAGCTCTATCCATTTTCTCCTTCTGTCACTCCATACAAGACTCACATTCTTGGGAGATAAGAGTCCGGTTGGCATGACAAAGCATACATGCTCACAGTTTGGCCAAGAAAGAGCAGCTAGGCAAGACTTCATGAAGTACAGACCATGTAGCTCCCCGAGCACAATTCAGGTGCACCTCTGAGATGCAGTGGGTCCTATCAACAGTATTATAAGAGTTCAGAGAAGGGAGATTCTGGAGAGACTTCACAGATGCAAAGGGGCTCAAGCTGGACCTTTAAGGATGGGTAGGAGTGAGATAAATGAAGAGGAAAGATTTCAGCTGGGGCACAAGAGGAGCAAAGGTTTAGGGTTAGGATTGAGCCTGATGTGTTCACCAAAGGCAGAAGTGTTGGAGACGGAGAAGACAGATGTTAATAAAAGGTCCTTGGATTTATTTCTGTAGAGAGTGAGAATAGATAGCAGGTTTAAACAATAAACCAATGGTTCAGGCAGAGAAACAGTAAATGTAGAGCTAATTGTACAGAAAACATTCAGAGAAAGCATCGGGGGAAGCCTATGTATTTTTGAAAGAAAACCAGAAAGGTAAATGGTACATTGGAAGAAGCTTCTGGGTATGAGATTGAGAACCCAGGTGAAGGAGAGATACCTTGAAGAAGGAGAGTCTCTGTTTGTCCAAAGGCTGAAGGACAAGATGGGGACTAGATGGGGATGGAGATACCAGTATAATGGTTTAGATGACACTTGTTCTAAATACACTAAGTCTTAGCAACATGCGGTAGAAATCACTGCTGAGTGAAGGGGAGCAATGTTGGATGAGCCTCAGAGTGAAGATGCTTTAGAATATCCAATGTGCTCAGGCCACAGTACTTAGGAATCAACAAGGGGTCAGTGAACAATCACAAAACAATGCCTCTGCTTGGTTAAAGTTAGCATGAATTTGAGCAAAGTTTCCAGATGACTGGATGGAAACTCTTTTTGGTTAATATTCAAAAGGTAGGGTTTCCAAACCTTTGGAGCAGATTTTAAAGATAAGAGAATTTATTCAGGAATTTAACTTTTGTTCCTAGACTTAAAGGATTATTGGAAATATTTGGAAGACAACAGATTGGCATATTTTGTGATGATTTGCACCCTTTATTTACATACGGAGCGGTTGCCACAGAAGTCTCTTGATCTTATATCATTTCAGAAAATAAATGTATTACTAGAAACACCAGGCGTTTTAGTGTTTGACTTCGCACTGAAATAGCACTGAATAGAATATGTTTAGCCATTTTCAACCTTCTTCTGTGCTTCTCCAGTATTTATGCTGGAGTTATCTCAAAAATGGACTCAAGGTGGGGCGCCTGGGTGGCTCAGTTGGTTAAGCGACTGCCTTCGGCTCAGGTCATGATCCTGGAGTCCCGGGATCGAGTCCCGCATCGGGCTCCCTGCTCGGCGGGGAGTCTGCTTCTCCCTCTGACCCTCCTCCCTCTCATGCTCTCTGTCTCTCATTCTCTCTCTCTCAAATAAGTAAATAAAATCTTAAAAAAAAAAAAAAAAAGGACTCAAGGAGAAAGCATGAACCTACAAGCAATCCTTAACCTCAAATATTTGATCTATGTCATCACATCTATGTAGCTCAGAATCTGCTTAGAAAAGACAAACCAGGGAGTTTGGCTTCTCTTTACGCCTTTGAGAGAGTCAACCTTTAAGGCTTATTAGTGAGCCAGATTCTCCCCACCCCTAAGCCATCCAGCAGTGACCCTTTCTCAGTCTGCTTAAGGTAATGCACAAATAATTGCTTTATGTCATAGACCTGTTTCTGCAAAAATTCAAATAAGCCAAATGCTATTTGCTCCCCCCAAAAGCCCACGAATCATGTTTTAATAAAAAATAATCACTTACTATGTATCTGTTTAAAATGTCATGTATTGGATTTACTTACACTGAGATACATCAACACTTTAGAAACATAATCTATGGGGTATCTCTCTGGTCTTGAAGGGGCTTATTAGTGCACAGTGTATAATTGTTCACAAGGAATAGTCTAGTTGCTGATAGGGCTAATCATAATAGTCTCAGTAACTACCATGGAGAATTCTATGAAGTTGAGTTTGTACTGAGTTCTCTACAAATATTGTTTATTGAATATAGATCATCACAAGAGGGATAAGAATGTAAATAATCATATTCAATCATAGAAAGTAGATAGTATTATGACAACCTACTTTACATATGAGTAAACTGGGGCTTAGGAAGATTAGGGCATCACACAATAAGAAATAAGGTCAGAATTGAGGCCACGTGTGGATAGTTCCAAAGCCCATGCTCTCACTGTGCATTATCATTTCCTGACTTACCAAGTGCTCCCATATGTGACATTATGCTGGCTTCACCAGCAGCCTGTTCCCTTACTTGTTGTTTGTCTTTAATATTTTTTAATTAAAAACTTCTAAACTTTTTATTTTAAATTAATTTTAAAATTAATGATGTTGTACAGAACAGTACCAAAAAAAAAAAAAAAAAAAGAATCCTGTATATCCAGAGTCCTCAAATGTTAATCTTACATAACCACAGCACAATGACCAAAATCAGGAAATTAACATTGATGCAATTCTGTGACATCATCTACAGACCTTATTTGAATTTCCCCAGTTACCCCATTCATGTCCAGGATCTAAATCAAGATGACATGTTGTCATGTCATTTAGTTGTCATGTCTCCTTGGTCTCCTTAGGGGCCAACCCTATACTCGCATGACCTCAGGGGTGAGCACATCCTCCCATTTTGCATCCTAGCCACTTTGATTGATTCATCCCTTTAAACTAAAACAGTTCCTAGTCTTCCTTTGTCTTTCATAACCTCAACACTTTAAAAAAGTACTAACCAGTTATTCTTGCAGAATGTTCCTCATTTGGGTTTGTCTGATGTTTCCTCATGAATAAATTTGGGTTGCGCATTTTTGGTAAAAATACTATGGAAGTTATGTTGTGTCCTTCTCAGTGTGTCATGCCAAGAGACACATGATTTGTCACATCACTGGTGATCTTAACTGTGATCATTTGGTTAGGGTAGTATCTGCTGGATTTCCCCACTATGAAGTAGATATCTTTCCTCTTTTATTAGTATTTTCTAGGGGAGCTACTTTGCAACTATGTAAAGAGCCGGTTTCTCATAATACCTTTGCCACTGATTTTATCATTCATTGATAATTCTTGCCTAAAACAATGATAACTATAGTATTTTAAAATGGTGGCATTCTCTTCCCCTCATTATTCATACATATATTAGTTAGAATTCCATTGTAAGGAATAGCTTTGTCTTCTTCCCTTCTTACTCAATTATTTATTTATATCAGCATGGACTCATGGATTCTTACCATATTCTGTGGGGTATATTAATATCATTGGCTATTTTGTTTGTCCAAACTGTCCCCCTATTTGGCCAAAAGACCCCTTCAAGTTTGGCTGTTATCCTTTTGACATGTTTCCCATCATTTTGTTTTATTACTTTTATTTTTTTAAGTGAATGGTATTTTTATTGGAAAAAAAAAGGACTTGCATTTGCAACTTGAAATGGGTGTAAATTGTAATTTCTTGAACAGCAATGTTGATGCTTGTGCTGAAGTCCAGAGAGCCACAGCTTCCTCTGCTGGCTCCAAGTCATGGTACAGAAGGTTTTAAAAACAGAGAGTCTAACCTTCCCTTGGTAAAGGTTTCTTTTTAAAAATTAGTGTGAATGGTGACAGCCTGACACCCATTTCGCTCTAGTACAATACAGACAATGCTGAACCAGCACACACAGCATGCCTTGAGGACGAGGGTCATCATTACCCTGGGTGGGGGCACACGGAAGTACGAGAGGGCTGTCCTGCTAGGTGGGGCTATGTCTAGACACTTTATCCTTCACCCATGTTTCTGCACAGCATCCTGCGATAAACCAATTTTAAATGTGTGTTTCCAGTAAACCAGCAATGGCAGTTTATACTAACGAATTGAATTAGAACCCATTTGAATAAGTTTTTTTTTAAATTTATAAATCAGTTTATTTACAGATTTTATTTTTTCTTAAAGTACACTTCAGTTAACAAATCTATTTACACAGATATACATGGGAACTCATCCCAGTTATTTTACAGATCATACTTACAAACCACACCCCAAGTCTTCTGTGCAAAGCTGCACTGGATGTGAATTTGAATAAGTTTTAAATTTGTTTTTTTTTTTTTAAAGGTTTTTTATTTATTTATCTGACAGAGAGAGACATAGCGAGAGCAGGAACACAAGCAGGGGGAGTGGGAGAGGGAGAAGCAGGCTTCCTGCCGAGCAGGGAGCCCGATGTGGGGCTCGATCCCAGGACCCCGGGATCATGACCTGAGCCGAAGGCAGACGCTTAACGACTGAGCCACCCAGGCGCCCTAAATTTGTTTTTTCAGTTTTTATTTTTAATACAAATGCCTGACTGTGCTCAGTTGTCAAGCTGCATGCATGAAAACCTGGCCAGCCCAAACAGTGTATTACTCATGAGCAAATGGAACTGCAAGGAGTCTGCTAAGTGCTTCCTTATCATTAAGGTAGTACAAGTGTTTATATCGTAAAACTGAGGTGTAGCTTGACCTTTAGGGCACAGGACCACCAACTAATACATGCAGATTTTGTGTGTGTGGACCGAAGGCACTTTTGACATTCAGTTTTGCTATACAGAAACAGAATGAGTAAATGAACTTTTTTTTTTTTTTTTAAGAGGTAAGTACAAGATTCAATTAGATTCTTCTAGAGGAGGAAAAGGAGTTGAAAGTAGGTCTTCGTTTGGCAATCATCATCTGTATGAATTCGTCATAGCTGACTTGTCCATCTCCATCAATACCTGGTTCTCTGATCATTTCATCTTCTTCATCCATTAGTTTTTCTCCTAACTTGGTCATGCCATGACGTAGCTCTGCTGCACTGATGTAACTGTTGCCATCCTTGTCAAAGACTTGGAATGCCTGGCGGATTTCTTCTTCACTGTCTGTATCTTTCATTTTTCTAGCCATCATAGGCAAAAGCTCTGGGAAGTCAATGGTGCCATGACCATCAGCATTCCCCTCATTGATCATATCCTGCAATTCAGCTTCTGCTGGGCTCTGACCCAGTGACCTCATGACGGTTCCAGGTTCGTTTGTTGTGATGGTCACCACCGTCTTTGTCAAATAGGGAGAAAGCCTCCTTGAACTCAGCAGTCTGTCCTTCAGTCAGCTGATCATCCATGGTGCAAGGAAGGGAGGAAGAACAGAGGGAGGGAGGGTGGCTGTGCCCGCGCAGAGGTTGTCCCGGGAGGGGTGTGGGCAGGCGGTGCCCGGCGGCTGTGAGGACTGGGCAGAACCCGCCAGGCTCCCAGCACCACTGCCCTCCCATCATTTTGTTTATTTTATTTTATTTTATTTTTTTATTTTTCCAGATTTATTGAGGTATAATTGACATACAACATTGTCAAAGTTTAAGGTGTGTTCCATGTTCACGTGATACATTTATATATTGCAGTGTAATCACTATCATAGCTTTAGCTAATACCTCCATCTTGTCACATAATTACCATTTCTTTTTGGTGGTTAGAACATTTAAGATCTTCCTTCTTTAGCAACTTTCAAGCATATGATATAGTATATCTAACTATATATAGTCACAATGTTGTGCATTAGATCCCTAGAACTTACTCATCTTCTAACTGGAAATTTGTACCCTTTGGCCAATATCTCCCCATTTCCCCCAACCCCCAGGTTTTGGTAACCAGTATTCTTTTTTTTTTTTAATGGGTTTGTGGCTGACACCATGCGTTTATTTATTTATTTATTTATTTGAAGATTTTTGTTGTTGTTGTTATGTTAATCCCCATACATTACATCATTAGTTTTAGATGTAGTGTTCCATGATTCATTGTTTGTGCATAACACCCAGTGCTCCATGCAGAACGTGCCCTCCTCAATACCCATCACCAGGCTAACCCATCCTCCCACCCCCCTCCCCTCTAGAACCCTCAGTCCATCATTTTGTTTTAAAACACTCACTTTTCTGGCATGACAAGGTGTTCCAGGCTCATTTTGTACTTTCTCTGCCTAGCCATGCATGACCATTTCTCCGAAAAGCCCTGGTTCCTTTTGTTGGAGAACAGTATTTGGAAACCCAGATCTGGGCACTCATTGCTTTGGGTTTCTCCTCTCCTTTCTGTGCGGTTCTGTTCTTAATTTGTTATTATGTAGTGAGGTGGATTAGTTTATCTTCTCTGCCTGTTCTACTAACGTTTTGCCCCTCACCCAGATTCACCCTTTGTGACCTACTCTGCAGTAATGGGGCTGGAAATTAAGTGTTCCTCCTCCACAGAGAGCAAGACGTTGTGATTTACCAGTGAAAGGCACTGGGGCGGGGGGCGGGCGTTATAGGGGACAGGCGCTTCTCTTCCCGGTTCTAGTGCACTACTGTTTTGTTGGCCTCTCACTCCTACCACGTGGCTGCCAGCAGTGTGTGGGAAAATCCAGGGCTGCTCCGCCCCATTGGCTTGTCCAGAGCACATAGTCGCTTGGTGAGCTCACAGCCTTGGCCCCCGTCCAGTAACCACCTCACTGTGGCGCTCCCACCGTGGACATCACACACTTATGCTGCTCTTCTGGTGAGCGGGCTTCCAGTACCCCAAGCCCTTTTGTGTGCCTGTCTGTTGTCTTGGCCACATCTACCCCAGGGGAATGCTTTTTGGCTTGCCAGGCCCAGCTGTGATTCCTTCCTGCCGGCTTCTGCCGGCCTGCACCCCGGAAGGGTAGTTCCTGCCTGCTTGGTGGCTGCGCAGGAGCTCTGGCCCAGGCAACCCCCTAATTTTTAGCATTCACTGAATGTCTCCATCTACCACACCCTCTCCAGTGAGATCAGAATCTCATCCTCGGGGAGAGGACCCTTCCAAGTTTGTTCATTCCTTAGGCTCTCCGTCTCCGCGTTAGAGCGTTCTTTAGAGTTCTCTGTACACCTTTACAGTTACTCCCCTGTGAGAGTTTATATTAAATTTCCCTGTTCAAATGACTGCCTGATTTCTACTTCCTGATGTGACCCTGACTCATACATACCCCATATTGCATTCCCTTTCCCATCCTTGTTGATTTTATTTATCTATCTATCCTCAGTAAGTGAATCACTATGATGGTTGCTAAAAGTCCGAACTATATACAAACACTTACCAGGAAAAGTCACTCCCCTCTCCCTACCCTCCATTCTGTCCTGTTCTCATTTCCCCAGCCTTTCCAACTCATTCTACCTACTCCTTGTTTCTATCTCATTAGTTTCTATTTTTTTTTTAAATCCTAGCAGGCTTTTTTTTTTTTTTAAGATTTTATTTATTTATTTGACAGAGAAAGACACAGCGAGAGAAGGAACACAAGCAAGGGGAGTGAGAGAGGGAGAAGCAGGCTCCTCGTTGAGCAGGGAGCCTGATGCAGGGCTCAATCTCAGGACCCTGAGATCAGGACCTGAGCCGAAGGCAGACGCTTAACAACTGAGCCACCCAGGAGCCTCTCATTAGTTTCTAGTTTATCCTTTATTTCCTTTTGCACTGTTGAGAAAATACATGCATGATTCCTGATTTCCTTTTCTGTAAAAGGTAGCATCCTATTGACAGTCTTCTACATTTTGCCTTTTTTTTTTCACTTCACAATATATCCTAGTAAGCGTACCATGCCAGCTCACAGGAATCTTTGTCATTCTTTTCACAGCTGTGTAGTACTCCACTGCCTGAGTGTACTAGACTTTATCCAGCCACTCTCTCAAGGATGGATATTTAAGCGGTTTCTGCACAAGGCTGCAGTGAATAATCTGTGCATACATATTTTTGTATTTTTGGAGATGTATCTTCAGGGTAGATTCCTAGAAGTGGGATTGTTGAGTTGGAAAGTCAGTCCATGAATTGCTTTGTTAGTCATTGCCAAGTTCCCCTTTCAAAGGGCTGTGCCAGTTTGTATTCCCACCAGCCATGCATGAGTGTGCCTGTTTTCCCCAGCCTCGCCAACAGGATGTGTTGTCATACTTTAAAATTGTTGCTTATCTGATAGGTGAGAAATGGTGTAGTCCTAACTTGCATTTCTTTAATTATGAGCTATTTGAATATCTGTTCACAGGTTTAAATGCCATGTCTATGTTTGTAAGTGAATTTTCTGTTCCTGTCTTTTTCCCATTCTTCTGTTGATTCTGGTCCTTTCTCCCTTTTTAAGATTCTTTAAATATTGAGGGTTTTAGCCCCTTGTCTGTGGTATAAGTTACAGACATTTTCCCCCAGTGTGTCAGTTGTCTTTTGACGTTGTATATGGTACTCTGGCTGTGCAAATGTTTTTGTATTTTTGTGTAGTCATGTTTATTGATCGTTTCTTTTGTCTGGATTGTGAGTTGTGGTTAGAAAGACTTTCCCTGGGGGCGCCTGGGTGGCTCAGTTGTTTAAGCGACTGCCTTCGGCTCAGGTCATGATCCTGGAGTCCTGGGATCGAGTCCCGCATCGGGCTCCCTGCTCGGCAGGGAGTCTGCTTCTCCCTCTGACTCTCCTCCCTCTCATGCTCTCTATCTCTTATTCTCTCTCTCAAATAAATAAATAAAATCTTTAAAAAAAAAAAAAAAGAAAGACTTTCCCTGTACCAAGATCAAAGAGGAATTTACCCATGTTTTCCCTAGTATTTCTATAATTTAAATGTTTATATTTGATTCCTGATCCATTTCAAGTTTATTCTTATGTATGGTGCGAGATACAGATTATATCTCTTTCCAGTCAGTACCCAGTTTTCTCTGTCTTTGCCCCAGCAATTTGAAATGCCTCCTTTATCACGCACTAAATTTCCATATGTACTTGGGTCTCTTTTGGGATTTTTTATTCTATCCCTCTGGTCTGTTTGCCTGATCATGAGCCAGTTGCAGACTGTTTTAGATAGAGAGGCTCTAGAGCAGATTTTAGTGTCTGGTAGAACCAGTTTCCCCTACAGTTGTGCTTTTTAATTGATTTCCCAGCTATTCTTGTACGTTATTTTTCCATACTAACTTGTCCTTGATAGTTAATATGATTCAATTATGTGATGCTAACTAAATTGAGGAAGCAATTCAGGGGCTCAGAGGTACGTTTGCTTTAACAGTTAATAATTCATGGGGCACCTGGGTAGCTCAGTCATTAAGTGTTTGCCTTCCACTCAGGTCATGATCCCAGGATCCTGGGATCGAGCCCTGCATCAGGCTCCCTGCTCAGCGGGAAGCCTGCTTCTCCCTCTCCCACTCCCCCTGCTTGTGTTCCCTCTCGCGCTGTCTCTCTCTGTCAAATAAATAAATAAAATCTTAAAAAAAAAAAAAAACAGTTAATAATTCAGCCAATGGGAGTCCACGGCAGAGTCCTGGGCCCTGGAAGAAGATTGAGGACCAGGTATTAGTGCCCCAGATGGGGTGAGGAAAGTCACAGAAGTAGGAGGCAAACCCAGGGTAAGAGTGTATCCTGGAAGTCGCAGTTGGCTAGAGCATCAGATCAAGTTCAGAAGCAGTGATCTGGCCCGGGAGAGGCTGGAAATCATGACTTTATACGACAGTGGCAAAGAGCCCTTGGGTTCCATGTGGGAGCCCACCGGTTTCAAGTCTGCAGATGACCTGAGTTTATCTCATCTGTTTGGTAGGAAAATTCTCAACTCTCTAATTCCAATAGTCAACAACGTGGCTTTAAAGGGTTTTGGTTAAGTGTATTTATGCCCGACATATTTCTGAAGTAAACTTTGTTTTATTTTGTTCCTGGTAAATCTAAGTCCTTTCTTCCAGAGTTCAATAATTTGAAACTAAAAGTTTTACATGCATTTTAAACAGCCACCTTCCCTCCCCTACCCACACATTTACGAAAATAAACAGGGCCACCCCACCAGCCGCTCTCTGATTTGCATAACAGCAAGAGCTGATGCAAATTCTCACATTTGGGGCTATTTCAGAGTTGGTGGAGATGGCAAAGGGTTCCTTTCCTTAAATAGTCTTGAGAATGGTACCTTAGATGAGTGCTTTCTAAAGCACTGTTACTGTAAAGTGAAAATATTGGACAAACTAAAATGCTAGTGGTAAACGAAACATTTTCAATGGTGTCAGGTTTGGTTTTTGCAGTAAGAAAACGTCGCAGCCCGAAGTGGAAAGTCAGAGTCTGTGGCCCCGTTGTCAGCTGTGGCCCTGCCCTGGGTCCCACCCTGCTTCCTGCCCCATGGGGCCCCGCCAGCCCTGCCCACCACACACACACATTTCACTTCCCTCCTGCCAAAAAAAGTCAGATGTGGAAACTCTTGGTACTCCCTCCTGCAGAGTATCGCACACTATTGCATCGTCTGGCATTCGGCACATAATGTTCATAAACAGGAATAAGATACACCCTGGGTCATCACACTTGGTGGTAAGACTGGGAAGTAAGCACAGTTTGCCATGGCTTTTCTCCCATGGCACCACTCACAGCTGCTTCACCGGCCGGAGGAGCCTGGGGTCCCCTGTTCTGGGTTCCAGTTCAGAGATTGATAATGGCAGGTTGACTGGTAAAGGGAATTGGAGGAAAGGGGTAGTGGATTAATATCTACAGAGCAGCTCCTTCGTCCAAGGCAAAGGCTATTTAAATACCTTTCATCCAATTATTCTAGCTTTCTATGAACTGGGCATTTATTTTTATTTTTTAATTTTTTTATAAGCTAGCAAATAAAGGGAAGAGATCATTTATTCTGCCCTCTTTGTATGAACTACTCCAACCAACCAAGTTGTTGTTGAGGAGGCGTTTCCTTTTTGTTTTTTTAAAAAAATTTTTTTTGAACTAGGCATTTTTATCCTCATTTTTCACTGTGTCATTAGTTGAGCCAGGATTTTCTCTCACCTCTGCTTGACCCAGAGCCCATGCTGAATTATGGTGCTTTTTGATTTACTCAATGCCTAGGACAGTGTCCAGTGCATAGGAGGTACTTAAGAATCTTGGGGTTGATCATGGACTTTTAAAGATTCAAAGCCTGACCCCAAAATCATAGCTTTCAAAGTTTTGAGCACTAGCAAGGATACTTGGGTAGATGAAGGGTTTTTTCGGTTTTACCCCTTTATCCCAGTCACTCAGCTTAGCAGACCGCCTAGCCTGACCCTGAGTAAGATTCCTCTGACTCCTTCGATTCTGTTTCTTCTCTTTTCTGTGCCTTTGGCTGACCCCAAATTTAGAAAACCTCATAACATAATTTGGCCCTCTAGATTTTCTCAAAAGTAAGTCTGTCCCTAATGACTGAGCTGACTCTACAGCTGAAGTTCCAACAAAGTCTGACCTCAAAACACTGAGTTGGTTTTTTCCTAACTGAGAATGTCATTCACATTTCTTTGAGGATTCCTCCCAGCACAGGAGGCTACTTCTAGGGGCAGCCAAATACAAATGATGAGTAACTATATGTAAACATGTTTGACTTCACAAATCATCAGAGAAACGCTAATTAAAATTGAGAAGCCATTTTTTTTTTCACCCAACAGATTACCCCAGTTTAAAAGATGAAAACATCCAAGTGGGAAAACCTGTATTTTGATGAGAGATGGAACTCTGTAGATGCCCAGTTAAGAGTGTTGATCAAAATCTGAAATATACGTATTTGCTAGTTTACTTTTGGTTGTCTTCTCATCATTTTTTGAGTTTTTGTATTTTTCTTTCTTTCTATACTAGTCAGGGTTCTCCAGAGAAACAGACCAACAGGAGATTATATCTATGTCTATATATCTAGATCTACATCTATATCTATATGAGATATAGAGATTTATTATAGGAACTGACTGACACAATATTATGGAGGCCAAGAAGTCCCACTATCTGCCATCTGCATTCTGGAGAACCAGCAAAGTCAGCGGGGTGATTCAGTCTGAGACCAAAGGCCCGATACCCAGGGGGCCAGAGACGAAGTCAGAGACAGCACTGCTGTCTGAGGGCAGAGGAAGATGAGTGACCCAACTCAAGCAAAAACCGCCAGTTTTTCCTTCTTCTGCCTCTTGGTTCTATTCAGGCCCGCAACAGATTGGGTGATGCCCACCCACATTGGTAAGGGTGGATCTTCTTTACCCAGTCTACCTATTCAAATGTTAATCTTTTCCAGAAACACCCTTACAGACACACCCAGAAATGTCTTACCAGCTCTCTGGGCATCTCTTAGCCCACTCACACGGGCACATACAATTAACCATCACACTTTCTTCCTTTTTTGATTTTATCTTTAGAAATCTTGCTGGTTGAAATTTGCTTCCTTAGGAGCATCCTCTTGTGATGTAAATTCTTCACCTGCTTTCCCTGTGTTCTTTTTATGCTTGCTTGCCTAGAGAGTAGCCGACTTGCACCTACAAGCAGGTTATTTTTTATTTCAGGGACTTTGCTGAGAGCCACCCTCGCTCTTTGAGGCTACAAATAAATGAGCCGTATTTCCAAGGATAGGAATGAGCAGATACAGAGATGCCCCCACCAAACCCTGCCCAGGGGCTGACACCATGTAATTCTAGGAGGTGGAACCAAGTTCCACTCAGACCTTCTCCCCTTCATCCATGGCCTGTCTGACTCCTGGATCTTCAATCTCTAACTGAAGACCCAGGGCTGTCACAAGCCCACAAGGGGCCCTGTGTGAATTGCAAGAAGGCATCACTTTGGGTGAGAACAACCCTGCTGGCCCATGCTTGGTGACCAGATGTTGTCTTTGTGTGATCTGGGAAAGGATTTATCTCTGTTTGCGGAATAGTGTGAGCTTGATTCTAGTGCCCTCCACTCACCCCCTGGGCCAGGCATCCTTTTGCAGGGCACTGCCAACACAACCTTACCTGAAGCCCCGCAAAGGATGCTGGGTTTGTCTTTCAGATCTGACACT